ACACATTGTACCAAATATCATTCAACTTTCTTATGAAAGCATAGTATAAACTTTGCAGGTAGGTGGGTAAAGTGCAATCTTTAGTTGTTTCTTATAGCCCTTATTCTGTTGGGAAGATGCAAGAGTGTGCCTAGACTTGAGCGCTGTAGAGAAGGATGAGGGAGAGTAAAGTGATCTAAACATCTCTTTCAGGGTTGCTTGTAACATGATGATGAAGAAGAATCAAAATAAAAAACACTATGGGACTATTAGAACATTACTTCTTAATTGTGTGAAATTGCTGGACAAAAGCAGACATCCTCAAGTAAGATCACATTCATATGCTTTCTGACAGAGTGCTAACAATCTGATGAAGAACTGCTGCCTGGGCAGTGAAGGCCTCTTAGCCAGACTCTAGCCCGCCCCTCCCTTCATGGGTGCCTGCAGCCTGTGGCTGTGGAGCACTTAAATGTGCCTAATCCGAATTGAGATGTGCTGTCAATGTAAAATACACACTGAATTTTAGAGAGTGTGTGTGTAAATGCACACTGAGTTTAAGTATAGCAGTATCCAGTTTGTAAATAGATTATCCTGAAGACCAAACTTAGAAATAGTTTGTTGAATAAAAAAAGTTGTGTGTGTGTGTGTTTTGTTTTGTTTTGTTTAATGTTGGGGGCAGGATCTCACTAAGTTGCCCAGGCTGGCCTTGAACTCCCCTTCCTCCTTCCTCAACCTCCTGAGTAGCTGGGATTACAGACACAAAACAATTACTGACTTAAGTATCTAATTGCTGTTTGAAGTTTTGGTATTTAGTGGTACTTGAGTGGTTTATGCAAAAGTTAAAAAGTGATGTTCAGATTATTAAGTGTCTATAATAAAGAATTAGTCAATAATAGTGAGATAAATGGTAATATGTAGTGCTGATTTTAATAGCAATCAGAGAAGGACTTTTCCTTTTTTAATCTAGTGAGGTTTTTTTGCCTTTAGAGCTATAGGTCATATTGTAACTATTGCCTTTTAAAGGTAAGCTATAGTCGTTTATAAAGGAAAATTCTCATTTCTCACTTGGTTTGGGTAGGATTTGCTAACATTTTAGATAATACTTAAAAGCTTTTGCTTGTCCCCTGTGAAGGCTCAGGGTGGAATAATTTCCAAAAATGAAACTCAACCATAAGGATCTCACAGAGCACACTCAAGGCTAGCTTTGGGAACATTTCTATGTGTGTGACAGTCTGTGTGGCAAAAACAGACTAACTGCCGACAGCTTCCAAAACTTGTGCATGTGGTAGTAAAACTGCTTTATCTTTAGACGATGAGACAATTTTGGTGATAGTTTCTTACACACATTTGTTTTTCTTTATGTAAGATTATTGCTTCAGCCAATTACATGCTTTCAGAACTTTTTCAATTGGATGAACCTAAAAAGGAAGAAAATTCTGAATCTCCTTTACATGAGAATTCGGATGAAAGTTACAGTGAAGAGGAGGAGGAGATGCCTGACAGTGATGAAAATGGATCCTATAGCACCAGCTCTGACCCGTCAGACGACAACAAAGCAGTAGCTATCATTAAGTCTGTTGGGGAATTGTCAGTACCAGAAAAATACAAGTCCATCCACCAAATCAGGGTGAGCACACAGGATTTATATTAAAGTTCTATTGGTGGAAAAACAAATAGGTGTTAATTGAATGCAATTAGTTTCAAAGATGCTAATTGATATTTAGCAAATCTGTGATCCCGAGTATAATAATTCTTAGCTTTCTGAATTCTGAACCTTGGTTTTAGAACCCCGCAGTTGAATAGTCTTGTTCTGGGGTATCTGACCTACATTGTCCAAGGCTGGTGGCCCAAGTACACCAGACAGCCACATGTTGATTTTTATGTGGGAGATTTTTCTCTCCATTGGCCAGTGTGTCTGTCCAAGTTTTGTGTTGCTAGGAAATAGCATATGTGGGTTGCTTGGTGAACAGAAGTGGGGGGTTGATCCATATGTAGCGCTATCTGGTACGTTGTCCTTATGCTGTAAGTAGGACAATACTTTTCTGTGACCTGGGGCATGTTCTGCCCTGGTCAGGGCGGATGTCCCTAACACTGCCCACCCTTTTGGTTTTCCGTGACATGGGCTACACTGGCTGTTGTATCAGTCTGTCTCCACAGTGTACTTTCCTGTGTGCTGCCTCCCTATGATTAGATCCAGTCAGCCATGGGAGAGTTCTGTCTGTTCCACGAACTGAGATAGTCATATTTACAGATAATCTCTGAATTCAAGTTCCAAGTCTAACATTCAGTTGGAAACTTTATATCCAACCAAGTTTTGTGAGGCCATCTCTCTGTTACTTTAAAAGATTGCCTGTGTCTCTGCCCTTCTCTCCCTTCACTTTCCCCTTTCTTTTACCACAGCCATCCTGGGGTTTTTTTTTTTGTCACTCAGAAGCATGAAGATTGTCTGGGGGCTTTTGCCTTTATTGCTGTGCACCTCTGATCAGACACCCCTTTCCCTAGATCTTTTTCATGGCTGCCCTTGTGACTGAAACGTCACCTCCTAGAGGAGGTCTTCCCTGACCATTCTGGCCACAGCATCCTATGTTGGCTCCTTCAGGGAGCTTCTCTGTACCTATTTTTGGTATGTGCTGTCTCCCATCTCTGAATCATAAGCCTATTGCAGGTAGATCCTCCTCAGCCTCCCATGTCTGGGACATACTGTGGGTGCTCAGGAAATATTTGACTACATGACTGTAGAGAAACGTCATTAACTCTTCATCTAAGATTTTAGTTCACTTTCAGCCTGAGCCCCACAGTGGAGTAAAACATGTTTTTCTGATTAAGACTTCTATTGTATAAGTTATGTGTACTTGGGAAGCTGCATTGTAACATAAGGCCCTGGACTTCTGGGGCAATTAGATAATTAAAGGTGCAGCAGGATATTAGTGTCCCTCTTTTGTAGAGACAGCACTTTTTATTAGTGTTAGACATTCAGAAATGAAGTCATAGTAGTCATGAAAACATGCTGTAGCTAGTTTTAGCTGTGTTTGATTTGAAAAATGGGTAATCAGTGTGGATTCCAGAGTCCCTGCTTTTCCACTCACTCAATTCATCCTCAGATTCCTCTGCCATCTTGTGGGCTTCTATGAGAAATCTAGTAGGAGTTACTAGTAACTCCAGTCTCCCAGGATTCCGGAAAATGAAATGCTTCTAGAGGCCTATACACATACCGTTACTTAGTGGGTAGATGTTGGTAACTAGATTTACTCCTTAATTAAGCAGGTAAATTATATAGTGAGCCCTTGGGTGATGAGTGATTCTTGTTGACCTTTTGCTAAATTAATGATATTGTTAACTATGCTACCAAGTATCAATGCTAATTAAGAGTTGAATTAATCTATTGGATTTAGTATGCATTTTATCTAAAACATTACAACTCTCATTCTTGCTTTTTTGTTATACTAGAATTATTTTTAGAAATTTAAGTACTTAAAGCAGCACATATACTGGAAGATCTTTTTGTTAAGCTAGATTTGTTGATATGCTTACAGTAATTTAATCTGCAAACAAAAACATTGCAGAAACTTTTGTATCAGAAACCTTACCAAGTTGAATACAAAAGCATATTTCTAAATTATTGGTTTGTAGAGTTTTAGAAATTTCCAGAAGTGAGTCAGGAAATGTGTTGTAGCATGTTAATAACTTCAGCTGTTTGTTTCTAAAGCCCAGTTGTGCATTTCCAGTTTGCCATGATACAGAAGAGCGCTGCAGACTAGTACTTAGCTATGTTCTGGAGGTAAGTCTAAATTTAGATTTTGTTTTTTCAGTAAAGTTTGTGGTTGATATGCAAATAGCACTTGTTCATTGGTGTCTAGATGTTATTCTAAATGGTGGTCTGCTGAGATTTTTTTTTTTCCAAGCCTAAAGTGAAAAGCAAATCAATGTTTCCCAAATCTTTCAGATCAAACAGTTTTTCGAAGTCTGTTTCTAAAATAGAAATTCTGTCTTATTCTCAGTAAAGTATATAATAAATGTTTTTCCTTTTTTTAAAGGGTTTAAAATCTGTAGATAACAGCATCAAAAAAGAAAGTGACCTTCCAGCCGCTGACCCCAGCACCCCAATCCCCTTAAAATATGAAGATGAATCTGCAAGGGGGGGTCCTGAGGGGCTAGAGAAGCAGATGGCCTTGTTTTTGGACAAAAGTAAGTTGAATTGATGTGCAAATAAGGCCCTCAATAGAATAATATACTGGTCCTTTATGTCAATGAAGGCATTCCATTGAAAGGAATTGAGAAAAAGTATGTCATGTGAATGAGAAATAGGGTGACATATCTTTTCATTCAAAATATAAAACAAAGCAGAGTAATTTTGATCTTCCATACTATTTTTCTTTTAAAAAATTTTTAGTTGTAGGTGGACATGATACCTTTCTTTTATTTAATTTATTTTTCTGTGGTGCTGAGGATCAAATCCAGTGTTCCACGTGTGCGAGGCAAGTGCTCCACCACCAAGCTACAATTCCAGCCCCCATAAATATTTTAATAAGAGCATAAGGACCCTGGTTCTCCCTTGCCTGCTGTGAGGAGCTGATGCCGTCAGCCCAGTGCAGTTCTTCAGAGCAGTTGCATTGGTAACAGCAAGGGAAGGTGATTAGCACAAGCTGTGGCTTCGCCCGGGCATATTTCCTCACTTCCTTGAGCTGCCTTTTCCTTCTCAAATTTGACCTAATAATAGTGTCTACTTTTGAAGGACATCACAATGATTAAATGGTTAACATAAGAAAAGTGCCCAGGACCATATATAGAAGTGGTGGCTGTAGTCATTTCATATGTGAATAAGCTGGCAAGGTTAATTTCAAATGATCTATGTGTTCCTCAGGAATGTCCCTTTATGAAAAACTTGTAGACTTTGAGATAAAAGTCTTGAGGTTTCTGGGTTTTTTAATCTGTCATATTTCTTATTCCAGCCTTATCTCCTCTCCGTTTTTAAAAAGTTTCAGTTGTTTTAAAAACAATTATTTTGAAAGCCTGTGTATTTGAAATACTACCAAGTGCTTTCTGGACCTTTCTTCTCTTCATGAACAAAAGTGGTGGAGGTGGGGTGGCTTTGCTCCCCCAGCAACTGTGTGTGGTGCTTCTTGTGTGCTAGGCTTATTTGCCTGCAGTGAGAATCTACACTGTGACTTTCTCTTTTTTTTTTTTTTTTCTGAAACACCTTTTCTATCTCTTATTCCCCCTCATTTGCCCCAGTTGAAAATCCTGTTCAAGTTCAAAATCACCATGCTCACCTCTCTCTCTAGTTGGAGTTTCTTGATCCATTAACACTGGAAGCGGGGAGCACCCACTAAAGCCTTGTCTTGTGAACAGGTGTTAAATGGTTTTCAGCACCACAGTTGTGAGCACAACCTGCATCTTGGTGTCTTTGGTTTTATCAGTGTTTCACATACAGATAATGCTTATAGCAGTAGAGGAAAAGGAAATCAACCTACAATGAAACCATCATAGAGACTTAGTACTTTTTCTTGGCTTGAAAAATTCATAAGTCTAGCTAATAAGAAAATGGGGCAGGGGGTGCTGGGTTTGTGGCTCAGTGATAGAGCGCTCACCTCGCACATACGAGGCCCTGGGTTTGATCCTTAGCACCACATTAAAATAAATAGAAAAATAAAATGTATTTTAAAAAAGAATATATTCTTCAAAAAAGAAAGAAAATGGGAATTCTGAGGGCTGAGAGAAAGGCGTGTGTTTGGGGGGCTAGGGTTGTAGCTCAATGGTGGAGCATTTGTCTAGCATGTTCTCATCACCACCTAAAACTTTATTATTATCAACAACTAAAAAAAAAATTTTTTTTTTAAACAAAAGCATGTGTTTTTGTTCTTTGTTCCAAAGCATTTTGCTCTTACGTCTGTAATCACAATGAGTATATTTGGTGTGGTTTATGTTATCAAGGCAAAGGCCTTAGGACTCCATGTCATGGTTCCTAGTGCCTGGCCCTGTGCTTGGCACAAAGGTGGTCATTGGTGGAGTGGAGTAGCCTGCGCTTTGAGTGTTCCTGGTGGGGAAACCAAGGGCTGCTGTGGGAGCCAGGAGGAGCCAGGCATCTGCGAAGGCAACAGGTAGTGACTTGAGTCTTGCTGATGGGCAGTAGGAGTGGAGTAGTAGAAAGGCTAGAAAAATGGCATGTAGAAAGTAGCTCGGATGTATATGGTTACAAGTGCTAGAAGCCCTGTTCTGTCTAGTGACCTGCTTTGACTGAGATTGGGGCTGTGCTTCAGGAAGGCATAATATTTGGTAGGTTGATTTCAGACTGGAGACAAGAGGCAGATGTCAGTCTGTAGGCATCGCAAAAGAGAATGTCAGTTGCCCCTCGCAGGGATGCGGAAGGTTTGGAGCTTCAAGCAAGAGTTTGAGCGCTGCCATTTGACTACTTTGAGCTTAGGCAAGAAGCATAGTATTCACCAGTCTCAACATGGCAGTAACATCTGAGTCTCCAGTGTTTCTGTCAAGCAACAGAGAATATCTTTTTATTGTAAGACTTGTGCTCAAGTAAAATGTGCTCTTTTTCCCCTGTCACAGTGGGCTCCCTTCAGAAGGGTAATTATTCCAGTCAATCTGGAATGATCCCTGGTTCTTGGCAACATAAAATGAAACTCCAGCTGATTCTCAAGTCATCAAAGGCCTATTATGTCTTGTCTGATGCTGCCATGAGTCTTCAGAAATATGGGAGAGCACTGCGATACATTAAGCTGGCCTTGCAGAGCCATGGTAAGCCACCAAGAGTAAGTGGGGTCAGGGAGGGAGGCTGAAGGCATCTGAAGCCATAGGTCACGGTGGGCCCTCACTCCTACTCCTGTTGTGGAGTTTGATCTTAAAATGGCTTCTCCCAACCCTCTGTATGTTACCTAGAATTTTGTTTTATGCTCTGCAGCTTAACATCTCTTCATTTTGAAACACATGTAGCCCCCTGAAATATATCTGCTACCTGGCACAAAATGAACTTTGAGCAGATGCAGTGGTATCTAGCTTTCAGCTGGTAACAGATTTTCTTCATTTACTGTGCACAATAATTTTAATGCCTTTGTGTTTTTCTCCTTCCTACTATTTTCCAAATAGATACTTACTGCTGCCTGTGTACCAATATGCTCTCTGAAGTGTTGCTGTTTCTTTCTCAATATCTGACCCTCTGTGGTGACATCCAGCTCATGCTGGCCCAGAATGCAAGTAACAGAGCAGCACACCTGGAAGAGTTTCACTACCAAACCAAAGAAGACCAAGAGATCCTACACAGCCTCCACAGGGAGTCTAGTTGCCAGGGTATGCCAGAGAGGCCTCGTGTGCACAGTGGTGCTGTCCAGAAGCCCATGCTTGTTTATGTCCAGACAAGTGCCAGAAACCTAAGTCGTTCGGTGTTTGCTGTATTGTTTCATTCTTAGTTTTAAAACCAAGCATGATCCTCCTGTTTTTATCAAAAGGTTTTTAAATATAATTATTATTGCTGACTGTAAAATAAGGTGAAGACAGTTATGAGTTTCTCTGAACACTCTTCTTTTTATGAGGGTTTTTTAAGTGGTCAGCAGACCAAGCCATACATTTTCCTTTGGAAAATAGTAAGTTGGTGAGAGTGTATTAATTACCTTCTGAAAGAATGTGGGGCCAAGATAAAGAGACCATTATTTTTAACATGAGTTCATAGCCACTGTCTTGTGTCACTGTCAGGGTTGTCCAGGGCTGCAGTGGGAACTGGGGCAGCACTGCACAGCAGCAGTACCTCAGCCCAGTGCTGTGAGTGCACAGGCTGCGGTCAGGGGCAGATGAGGCAGAAGGCCAGTCTTCTGAAGGTGCTTTTGAAATGTATCATGTACTTGCTTCTTTATGCTCTAAAATTATTTATAACATTTGATATCCGCTTCCCAGAAAATCCTGGACAGTTGACAGCTGGAGGAGCACACGAGGGTGCTGTGTCCTTGCCTAATGTTTGCCCTCCTTTTTCCCCTTTTCCCTCTCTCTTTCAATTGGTCATTATATTTTAATAGACACAGTAGAAAAACCTCAGTGTGCTTTGTTTCCATCACAGTCTCCCCATATCTGAGTGTCAGTGGGAGGAGCGCTGCCTTTTTCCCCTTGAACTTGGGTTCTGCGCTTGCTTACTCCAGCCCACTAGATGGCATTTGTAAGTTTGAGGACTTAGCTAGGACTTGTCTGCTTGTGACTTAATATTAACTTTACTTCAAGTACTATTTCCATTAAAACTAAAAACTGTTTACTATGTATCAGTGGATAGCTTTTGGTGTGTACTAGTCCAGCTGGAAAAATCTGGGTATTTATGAAACTATAAAATTGTGTATTATTGATTAAGACAGTATATTTATGCAGCTTTGCATTTTGTATTTTGACTAAAATCTCTGACCCACTTAGATATTATGGAAGAAGAGTTTATATGGCTTCTGCTAACTTTTTTTTTTTTTTTAAAGGATTTGCATGGGCAACTGATTTGTCTACAGACTTAGAAAGTCAACTTTCAGTTAGTTGTAAATGCTATGAGGCTGCTAATGAAATCTTGCAGTTTAGTGACTTAAAAAGCCAAAATCCAGAACACTATGTACAAGTATTGAAGAGAATGGGCAACATTAGAAATGAAATTGGTGTGTTTTACATGAATCAGGCTGCTGCATTACAGACTGAGAGAATGGGTGAGTATCTTGGGATTCTTCTCTTTAATCTATGTTCTGTTATATAAGTCATGCTGATTTTATATGGGCTGGCTAAGAACTGTTGCACTTGATTGTTATTAAAAGGAACTCTGTTTAAAAAAGCTTTTACTATTAAAATTCTCAAGAAATAAAATAAGGGGAAAACATAATTTCCCTTGGGCTCCATCAGCTCCGTGTCTTCTTTCTTCCCAACTTTTATACTTCATACACATCTGGTCAGTTCAGAAACCACTTGAACAGTGAGCCACGTGCCAGGCTCTGTGTTGGACGTATAACTGGTCCCTCTTCTGGTTGGAAAGCCTGGTATGAATACAGATCTCTAAAAAGTGCTGTAAATAAGTTCAAATGCAGTACAGTAGGAGAGTGGGGAAAGGAGATATTCAAAGAGGTTGTAGGGTTCTTAGAAGCTGTGGTGGAGGGGAGCAGTGTGTGCCGAGTACACCCCAGCAGGCAAATGTGAAGGAAAAGGGCTTTCCAGATGAGGGAGCACCAGGAAAGTGCCGGTGGAGAGTGTGGTGCACCCAAGAGTAGCAGGGCCACGGTGGGCTGTGGGACCTGTGTGTAAAGAAGCCCAAGTTAGAAATCTGGCTGAGAGCTGCCAGGGCTTCTACAGCTCCAGCGAGGGCCCTTCCTGTGGTAATGGCAGAGGCCATGTGAGCAGATGACAGCCTGAAGGCTGGCAGTGAGAAGGTGGGGCTGGGATGCGGCTGCAGGTGACTTGAAAACAGCTAGGCGCCTGCTGGGCTGTGAACGGAGCCTGTCCAAACAGTTCACTGCAAGAAGAGTCTGTGCAATTAAGGGTATCTGGAGGAGGTGGCCTGTGGGGGAGCATGGGGCTGGCTCTTAGGAACCTAGGACAACTGGATAGAACAGACTCTGCCCTCGTAGAAGTCCAAGGGACAGCATTTGAATTTGTACAAAATAGCACCTTGCTCAGATGTCTTAACCTTGCTTGTCTTAATGTCAGTCCATTAATAATGAGAATATACATAAATGTTGTACCATGTTACCGGGGCTGATATAAAATACACAGACTATGACTTGAACCTCAGAAATATACTTCTCCTGGTTCAAGAGGCCAGAGCCCAAGATGAAGGTTGGATCCCTGTGAGGCTTTCAGTGGCCTGCTGTGTCCCTACTTGACCCTTTCTGTGTGCACGGGACCCCATTTAACCTAAGTTTCCTCTTTAGAGGCCTGATGCAAATATAGTCACAGTCTAAGATGGGGGTTAAGGCTTCAACCAGATGGATTTGGGAGACACCCTTCCCTTCATGTCAGTCATGGTGAGAGCAGAGCACTGCAGTGGCCCAGGTAGCTGGCTTTCCACCAGGCTCCTGTCAATGCTGTGCTCCTGTCACCCTCACCTAGAGGGACGGTGCTGAGTTCACACTGACATCTGCTCATGCAATTGTTTTCTTTCTTTCTTTGTGAAGTGAGCAAATCTGTGTCTGCTGCAGAGCAACAGTTGTGGAAAAAAAGCTTTTCTTGTTTTGAAAAGGGGATTCACAACTTCGAGTCCATTGAGGATGCTACGAATGCGGCTCTGTTGTTATGTAACACAGGAAGACTGATGCGCATCTGCGCTCAGGCACACTGTAGCGCAGGGGACGAGTTCAGACGGGAGTTCTCCCCAGAAGAGGGCTTGTACTATAACAAGGTAACCTGCCTGCTTGTGGTGGGCCTGGTCTGTTCACTCCTGGCTTCTGTTTACCTGTGGCTATCACTCCACTAAAATGTTACACAACTAAAAATAATTGAACCATCGCCCCGGATTTGACATACTTATAGAAATTTGCCTAACGGTGGTGGTGAGAATCTACTGCTGAAGGAATATCTTGAATTGTTAGGGAAAAGATGATTCAGTAAGTTATGTGGGTTATCAGAGAAATGTCCAGTAGATTAAGGATTGACATGGAGAGGGGGAAGCTAAAAGCACCAGAAGAAAATGGAGGTAGAGGTTGGCATGGGGCGGGGGTGGGGGGAGGACTTCCCCAGCATGGCACAGAAAGCCTAAGATGAATTAACTTAAATGTGCAAATGTGCACAGCAGCAGGTAAAGTTAAAGCAGATCATGATCCAGGGTAGTAAGAGCGACACAGATGACAGTCAGGTTAGTATATCCTTACTATATGAAGAATTAAGAATCATTGAAAGGAAACCACTCCAGTAGAAAAAGGGCAAATAAATGTGAACAAAAAATATGTACATGTAAAAAAAAGTAAATGCCTAATATGTAAGAAAAACATCAAAATTTTAATTTATATAAAATTTTTCTCTATCAGATGACCACATGATAGCATCCATTGTCAGGCACAGGGAATGAGCACTTCCATAATTGAGTATTTTTACGCTGTCTAATGACATTTGTGAAAAATGTTCATGGCATAGTAAATTGGGAGATAAAAGCAACCTTGTTTTTGTTTCTCCTAAGTATTTAGATGCACAGAAGGAAACAGCAGAAGTATAGTAGATACTGTGATTTGTTTTAAGTGCAAGGGTCACATATTTTAGGATGGGGGAGATAGGGTGAGAGAAGTGACTTTTTGCAGGAAAATCTCAAATTATTTTCTCTTATTGACTCATTCTACAAACTGTAACTTTTATTCAGAAAGGGAAACAAACTGGAAAAAAATACATCCTTGTGCACCAGGCTGTTAGAAAATAGCACTAAGGACTGACCTGCTGGAGACTCAGATAAAGGGTTCAGTCCACTGTATATAAACTTGTCAAAATATTTTCATTGGCTCTTTTTTTCCTTTCTTCATAATGTTGTCCTTTTATAAGTTTTCCCCGTCATTAAATTGACATCTGGGTAGTTTTGAGTATTTTGTGCCAGACACAGTGGTGCACACCCGTGTGCACCAGTGGTTGGGGAGGCTAAAGTAGGAAGAGCACAAGTTCAAAGCCAGTCTCAGCAATTTAGCAAGGACCTACACAACTTAGTAAAACCCTGTCTCAAAATAAATAAAAGGGGCTGGGGATGTGTCTCAGGGTTCAGTCCCTGGTATGAAAAAATAAAAGTATATTTTTAATGCAGTATTGGTATATTTATAAACAAAGTAAAAAATTCTCACCTTTTCTTTCCTTGCAGGCTGTTGATTACTATTTGAAAGCTCTGAGGTCGTTAGGAACGAGAGACATACACCCAGCCGTCTGGGACTCGGTGAACTGGGAATTGTCCACTACTTATTTTACCATGGCAACTCTACAACAGGATTATGCTCCGTTATCCAGAAAGGCTCAGGAGCAGGTCGGGAGGTTTGCTGGATTATGAAATGAGTCTTCAGCCTTATTTATTCCTTTGTTATCTTTTCGACAGCCAGTATTTAAACATTGTGAAATTCTTAGTCTGTGATTGTGAGCTTGTCATTTTTTTCTCCCCCTTTAAAAAAAAAAAAAAAAACAGATTGAAAAAGAAGTCAGTGAGGCTATGATGAAGTCCCTGAAGTACTGTGACGTTGATTTGGTGTCTGCCCGACAGCCTCTCTGTCAGTATCGAGCAGCAACCATCCATCACAGGCTGGCTTCCATGTACCACAGTTGTCTACGGAATCAGGTATGTCTGTTCCAGGCTAAGTTGCTTTCCAAGACCATTTACAAGTGTTCCTTGTTATGAATTCTAATTAGCCACTTTAGAAAAACCCATGGAGCCGGTGTTCCTCCTCTCATTTGTGCCATGTTTTTCTCTACTACATTTGATCAGGTCTTGGTTTGAAAATTATACATTTGCTGGGTGTGTTACTTAGTTGGTCTTAAATGCCATCAGAACTATAGTAATGGTTCTGAGCAAACTTTGAAATAACGGTCTCCTGGTTTGTTTTATTGTGATACAAAGCATGCCTGTGAGAGCACAGGTGGAGCAGAGGTGCAGGTAAAGACTGATGGAAGGAAACCCCTGTGACCTTGCCTGGAGTTAGAACAGAGAGCTCTTTAGAGAGCCCCTAGCACCCTGCTAGTATTGCCCTGCCAGGCACCCAGATTGGTGCAGAGCTGTCTGGTATCTTGCCACTTGATGTGTTGGGTTTTACGTGGCTGTGAGACTTATGGAATGCCTTGAACTGCAAGGATCCTTCTGTGGATTACTGTCTTTTGCTTAAAGGCATGTTTTTGAGATCCACACATCAGTGCAGGTACCTCTTCATTTCACAACTCGGTAGTGCTTGTGCAAGGAAGATAGCATAGTTCAGTTACCCATACTGTGGCTACTGAATTTGGTGTTTTCCAGTTTGAGGTGGATGCTGGTGCTCAGCCTCGTGGATTTCGAGGAAGCACCTGATACCCAGGTTGAAGCTGCCCTCTTTTAGAGAGTCTGCTTTGCTTCTGCAAGAGACTTGTCCTTGTAGTTGCTCAGTCTGTTGTGCATTGTTTTCCCCTTCCTTGGCTCGATACCTGGACACCATGCTGTACAGTTGCTTGGGCTTTGTTCTCTTATGGACCCCTCACCCTGAGTATCAGCCTTTGAGACCCAGCTTTACCTGGAAAGGGTTTCTTTCCACTGTGCTGAGGTGCTCCCCATCTGAGGTCCCCTTACCATAGGAGACCCCCACCCCCAGCCAAAATTCAAGTTTGCCCAAATGGCTTAATATCTTCAGGACAAAAGCAATCTGAAGGATGTTTAGGCAGTTCAGTGGGGGAAGACTAGTAATCTCCTCAGCAAATGGAACTGGCACAGATGGCTCTCCACGTGCAGAAGAACAGAAGTGGGCTACTGCTTCACAGCATAAGTGAAGATCAACTTTAAGTGGCTTGAAGGCCTAAGTATAAGAGCTAAAACAAGACTTGTAGGAAGAATGTAAACAACTGAAAAGCATTTAGTGATCCAGTCAGAATACTTGAATAACTAGTTACTATGAACCCCAAGCCTTAAGAATTGCATTTTTAAATTTTGTTTTTGGTTCTAGGTTGGTGACGAACATCTTAGGAAGCAGCACCGGGTGCTGGCAGATCTTCATTACAGCAAAGCTGTAAAGCTCTTTCAGCTCCTCAAAGACGCTCCATGTGAACTACTTAGAGTGCAGTTAGAAAGAGTGGCATTTGCAGAATTTCAGATGACCAGTAAGTCTGATGTCTCACTTTTCAGATCCATGT